AGCAAGGGTGAAGAAGTAAGAGTTGAAATGGAGTTGATCGAAATGATGTGGCGTCGACTCTCGACCGGACGCTGGGTCACTCAATGACGGACGACGAAAGGAAAAAGGCTGCGTCGGTCGAATGTCGAGGCAACACTGATGGCTAGGGTTGAGCACGACGACGTGGCTGCGTCCGGTCAAGAGGTGGACCGGACGCGTCCGGCAAAAAAACATGCCTCGGGAGCTTATTGAAACGATCGGACGCATGGGGCAGGGCTTATTCGGGTCTTTTTTATCGAAGCGTCCGATCGCTTGCTTCTGGCACCGTTGAAATCTGACGAACAGCGTTTGAAGCTGGTGACGCGTGGCGTCCATCGGGCGACCGGACGCTGAGGGCCAGCGTCCGTTCAGTATGACCGGAGCGTCCGGTCAGAGCGCGTTTTGCCCAGTGAAGGGGTATAACGGCTCTATTTGATTGGGGCTCTATTTATAGCCCCATGGCCGGCTCAAGCTCACATCTTTGGCCATTTCTACTGACATAGCATACTTGTGAGCTTAGCCAAAGCCCTCCAACTCATCTACATCATTGATTCATCATCATAGTGAGATTGGGAGTGAATCCAAGTGCATTGCTTGAGTGATTGCGTCTAGAGGCACTTGGTGATTGTGTGTTTCATCATGGATTTCGCTTGTTACTCTTGGTGGTTGCCGCCACCTAGACGGCTTGGAGCAGCAAGGATCGTTGAGTGGAGGAGGTGATTGTCTCCGACTCCGATCGTGGTGATTGTGAGGGGTTCTTGACCTTTTCTCGGCGGAGCGCCAAAAGGTACTCTAGTAAATTGCTTGTGGCTTGTGTGATCCTCATCTTGTGTTGGTTGTGCGGCACCCTATTGAGGGTTTGGCGAGTGATGCCAATCAGCGCGTGAACCTCCAAGTGAGTGAATCGCCACAACGAGGACTAGCTTGCCGGCAAGCAAGTGAACCTCGGTAAAAATCATTGTGTTCATCATTTGATTCCGAGGTGATTGGTCTACATTGGTATTCATTATTGTGATTGATTGGTTCCTACCACTACACGGTGGTATAACTCTCTTGCTCACTCTTACATTACCGTAAACTAGTTATCAAGTTCTTTAGTGTAGCTAGTTGTGAGAGCTTGTTTGTTTGATTAGTGTTGCTCTTTAGTTAGTCTTTGAGAGCACACTAATTTAGCTAAGTGTCATAGCTATTGTGTGGATATACACTATTTGAAATAGAATTGTGGTAGGTGGCTTGCATTTTAGTAGGCTAGCGCAACACTCGCTTCGCCGCAAAATTGTCTAACACATTTTGTTAAGTGTTGTTGTAGAATTTTATTAGGCTATTCACCCCCCCTCTAGCCATTAGGACCTTTCACCTATGCCGAAAGCGGATCCTCGTCCCCGACGGCCAGATCATCCCACAGGATGGTTGACCCAGAGCCATCATCCTCCTCCTTCTCTTCTTCTTCCTCCTCTTCTCTCGACAAACCTTGATGCCGCTTCTCTCACTTCAGCTTCGTTCGCTGCTTCGACCGCCATTTCTTCTCCTCGTCATCCTTCTTATTCTTTCTTTGTTCATCCATGGCATGGTTCGCCGCCCTCACGGCCACGTCTCTGGTAGCGACGTGACAGAGTCCTGGAAGACTAACCCCGTCGGTAGCTCGATGAAGCTCGCGTTCGACCACATCATGGGATGCCCCGGGATCAGGAACATGATGTTGGCCTCCCCCGTGGCCTCCTTGACGCGCTGCATGACCTCGCTATCATGGAGCAGCCCCTAGGCGAGCGTTGTCCTGATGAGCTACGCACCGAGCTCATCCCGTACAGCGGGAGGACGTGCGCCATCAGCGGCGCCACCCTCCTCGGTGATACCCCCGATGCCATCAGCCCCGCGGAGGCCGTGGGTCTTCAGGAACGCGATGGCCTCGAGGAGGTCATGCATCCTCTTCTCCTTGATGGGTGGCCCCCATGGCCATGACAGTGGTACCTCTTTGACCAGGCGCCCAGGGAAGATCGGCAAGGGAGCGGCAAGGTCATCCTTTCGGTAGAACCAATGCGAGTGTCGCCCCTTGTTGGATCTAGAGAGCTAGCAGGGCATGTACTCGGCCACCCGCTGCCCCCAGAGGTGGATGCCCGTGCATCCCATCAGCACCAGGGTCTCCTGGCCTCTCTCTTTCTTCTTGATCAAGGAGATAGATAAGAAATATCTCCACAGCTCAAAGTGGGCTTGATCCCCAGGTACCCCTCGCACATCGATCTGATAGTGGTGCATTGGGGTTCAAGTGCTGCAGCTCGATCTGATAGTGGTGGAGCAGACCCTAGAAGAACAGGTGGGGAGGAACCTCGAGTCCATGCTCGTGGAAGGGCACGAAGGAGACGACGTAGCCATCGAGCGGCGCCGACGCATCCTCATGGCCGGGCACAAGCCACTCTGCCGCATCGGTCCTCCCATGGAGAAGACCACGCTTGACGAGGCCCTCCATCCACGCATGGGTAACATCGGAGCGGTACCATGAATCCATGGAGGGTGGAGGCGGCTACGGAGAAGCAAAGGCGGCGGCGGAGAAGCGGAAGCTACAGATCTAGGGCTCCGACGGTGGATTAGCAAGCACGGTAGATCCGAACGGCGATGGTGTAGAAACAGATAAGGTAAGCATGTGGTTTTGATGTGTAGAAACGTGAAGGGGGAGGCTACTATTTATAGGACGGAGCGAAGCGAGAAGGCGAACCGTCCGCCTAGGTTCACGCACCCACTGCGTCGAGTACTGTCACCTCCTTTCGAAGATCGTGCACACGCTATCTCTAGCCAAGCCCTCAAAGGACATGCCAGATGATGGTTCACCCGGTCGATGGGCCAAGAACCATCACAGGTAAGGAGGGATACAGAGCTGAAAATGCTCCTATGACCCATTCAGGACCAGCAGTTTGAAGGCTGGCCAGTCGACGTGTGCATAGCCACTTTGAGGCACCCTTAGAGCGAGGGGTGGAAAGGGATGGTCCCACTAGCGGCCAGTACCCAGGCGCATGAGCGCCGCGGGCATCCTAGCCCACGTTCAAGTCTTCATCGGTTCCTAGTCCATTGTTTTTCCTCGAAGAAAGGCAACGAGCCCTTGGGACCGGCCGAATGGACCCAAGAACTATATGGATTGGCCGCCAAGGGTCTGGAGTCGGTCACCAGCTGACCCATGCCGGACCCCTGTGAACGGGAAGTCAGGGCCCCACTCGGACTAGCCCGTTAACAGCTCATCGAGCACCATATTTCGTCCATCGAGGAAAAACGTGGCACGGCTCAGTCCCTCTGTTTTATCAGAAAAAAGGTCGAGGGATGACGATCACAAAGATGAGCTAACCCTCGACTGGACCCCTGCTACGTGTGGGGGCTCTAGGAAAGTTGGACTTGCAAAAAGACCGAATGCGTGGTCGCAGTACCACGGCGGACTGATCGGATCCTAGGGGACCGGAATCAAGAACAATCTTTCCGACCTAGCGAATCCTATGGTTACATGCCCCTAGAAGACCGATCACGACAAAAGGGAATCGTCGTCCTACCAGGACACACCGCGGGCTAAAAAAGAAGGCCAAGACCCTCAGAGTCCTTCCGTCCGAAAAAGCTTCCAAAGGAGTAATCTACTCCTCCGTAGGCTCGGGGGATACTATCGGATATCGATATTAGGGATACCCAAAGCAAGGAAGTGAGCACCCACGCTGACTTTCCCGGATGGCTCGAGATATATTAAAAGGTCTTGCCCGACCCCAAGGCCGTAGGCTCCGTCTCACCCAGCCTCAAGGCCATGGGCTCCGTCTTGAGTGACCCCTTGGGTGCGAGCTCCATCTCGCCCGACCTCGAGGACGTAGGCTCTGTCTCGCCCGATCTCGAGGACGCAGGCTCCGTCTCGCCCGACCCCTTGGGTGCAGGCTCTGTCTCGTCCGACCTCGAGGCCACGGGCTCCGTCTCACCTGACCCTAAGGATGCAGGTTCTGTCTCGCCTGACCCCTTGGGTGCGGGCTCTGTCTCGCCCAAGGTCGCGGGCTACATCTCGCCTGACCTCGAGGACGCGGGTTCCGTCTCGTCCGACGGGGACCCATACCGCCGCCAACCACTCCAGGTCCAAGCGTATGGGCCTAGGTCAAAACTCTGACGCCGGGGAAGGGGCTGGCATGCCTCAATGTAACCCGTGGCCATGACGGGCTATACCTTGAGATTCATATCAAGAACAGCGTTGGACGTGCTAGTCTATTCTGCCTAATCCTCGTACGGACGCTGACAGGCGCGTCAGTTCACTACGACGTCCGCCAGGACGGAGTAGAACGCCATGACCGGCAGATGACGCCTGCGCATGGCGCCAGTGACGAACAAGGCCACGATATAGAGCTGTCCCTGTTGACATCTACAGGATCAGCGGGACCCGCGTGATGGAAAAGAAGGACCCATCAACCCTGGAAGCCTTCTTCTCTCTCGTTCTTCTCCTTTTCCTCCTCTGTAACCCGCGATTTCCCTTCGTCTATAAAAGGGGTAGGGCGCCCCACGCTGGGAGATGGAGAACACAAGAGCACGACACGAGCACATGGATGAGCGGCAATCAAGCTCTCAGCATCCGTTCACTCCTCCCACCAGAGACTTGGGATCCTTTCCCTCTCTTGCCTGTTTGTAACCCCTACTGTAAACCAAGTGCCGGTAACACGAGCAGCAGCGAACTGGACGTAGGGACGTTCCACCCAAACCAGTATAAACCATTGTGTCCTCCAAGCACATCAAACCAGACGTGTAAATACAAATTTACTCGTCGGTGATCTGAAAACACCGACACGGTGTGTGGTTTGGACCAGGGAAAGTATGAGTTTCTACTTCTTTCCTATACTCTGATAACACCTTGTTGATGACATCGCTCACGTTACCAAATTGTTATACAAAATTTTGGTGTGACCTGCGGGAGAGCACAAGTACACTGAGGTTAATAAACTCGAACAGGTGACAAAGAAAAATTGCTTAGCAACCCCACTTCAACCTTTTCTTTTTTTGCACAGGAGTAAATAAAGACTTGCCTTGGCATGGTGTGGGTGTCGTAGCATCCCTAACAAGTCATGGTATACGAAGACCTGCATTAGAATAATAAGGGCATATCAGGCTTCATAAACAAACGTGTTATGCATCTGCAGATGTCGTAAACGACTGATATCGAAGTGGTGAAGTGACTTTGCTCGACGAGTTCACTTCTAGCATAATATATTCAACGAGTTCACTTGATGAAGCGACTAAATAATTAGAGTAGAGTATATGACTGATGGGTGATGGCATGTAGCCATGTACAACTTTTGAATATGAACAAATCAACATCTTGTATCTGTGAGCAAAGCAATCTCTAGTACTCATTACAAAGTAAGAACAAACGAACCTGCCCACTACAGAATGGTCCAGCCCCAATCCCAATGGTTGGGATTTTCAATGCTGATGTTGCAGCGGCTGCCACTGGAACAGGCACACACTCCAACACAACCGAGAAGCATCCAGCCTCCTGCAAGGCAAGTGCTGTCAAAACAACCTACACAAGCACAATAGCATGGATTGTATTATTGAAACATAGTGCCAATCAGTCAGCACACCAATGGCGTACCAACAAATATATAGCCAGACCACAAGCAATGAGCAGCACACCTTTACAGCACTGTCAACCGTCTTCCCTTCATTCCTTGAGGCCTAAATCCACCGAGCACACTAATAGCTTGTGGTGTGAGGCCAACATGCCCCGTGACAGCAATTCCAGCCTCCACAATAGCCTTACGGGGTGTTTAGATCCGGTGACTAAAATTTAGAATGTGTCACGTGAGGGTGTCGTATATGGTGTTCGGATACTAATAAAAAAATAAATTACAGAATCCGTCGGCACTCCACATGACGAATTTATTAAGCCTAATTAACCCGTCATTAGCACATGTTTACTGTAGCACTACATTGTCAAATCATGAACTAATTAGCTTAAAAGATTCATCTCGTAAATTAGTCGCAAGCTGTGCAATTAGTTTCGTAATTAGTCTATATTTAATACTCCATGCATGTGTCAAACATCCGATGGGACAACGACTAAAATTTAGGAGGAGAAACGAAACGCCCCCTTAGCTGCAGTGATCCTCGATGGCGCACCCCCTTCCAGCTTGATTGCATCCATTCCACCTTCCTTCAGCACCCTCACAGCTGAATCAACAGCCTAAAAGAACTTGAAAACACTATTAATGTGCATTTGGGCGTGCACATTGCTAATGCTAATATTGAAATGCTGATCTTGTTTTCTTTTTAGAATTTCGCGAGGTGCTTTTGCAGCATTATTTGGTTAAGCAAAACAGTGTTGTTGCTGAACATCTAATATATATTGAAATTGAATAAAAAACAATCAAATGGAGAGAGAGTTACAATAAGTGAATTATACCGTAAAGCAAGATGTTTCCTATCCAAATCTAACAAGCATCACATTTCTGCAGTGACAAAATGGAAATCACGGTACAACCTTCGACAGTGAGACGAACGCGATAGGCAACTGCTGCATTGTGGCTTGTGGGCAGTGGCACCACCGCTCCATTCTGCCCCATCACATGGGAATATCTGGTACAGAATGGAGGGGAGAGGCGTGCGATGTGGGGGCCGTGTACCTGCGCGGCGGAGGACTCGTAGCAGCCGAACGGGAGATCCCCGACGAGGAGCGGCCGCGGCGCACCCCGGGCCACGGCGCGGCAGTGCTCGAGCATGATGTCGAGCGTGATGGGGAGCGTGGTGTTGTGGCCGTGGATGACCATGGCGGTGGAGTCCCCGACGAGGCAGACGTCGATGCCTGCGGAGTCGACGTGGACCGCCGAGGGGTAGTCGTAGGCGGTGACGTCGGTGATGGGCTCCCCACGGCGGTGCTTCCCGCGGAGGGTGGTCACCGTCACGCGCCGCGCCGCCGCCGACTCCTGCGGGCGTGGCCCCCCTAGACGGTGGACTCCAGCACGTTGCTTAGCAGCCGCCGCCGCGCCACCTGCCGTGCGAGTAGGGAGAGGGACCGCCGCATCGTGTCTTGTTGCCAAGAGGCGGGCGGCGGCGCGTGGTGGGAAGTGACGGGGACAGGGGAGTGTTTGGAATTTGGAAGGTGTTTTTTATGGGAATTTGGAAGGTGTTTGGTTGGGCGCATGATGTGTGTGTTCTTATTGACCAAAATTTGTTTAGAGGAAGGTAGGAAATTGGTTTGGCCTATGCTGACAAATTTATGAAAATCTAGGGTCTAGTGTTCAAATTTTTGTCTTGTCTCGACCCAGGCATCATCTTTTTTTTGAGAGGAAGGTGGGAAATTTATTAATTACGATTGGCATCATTTACATCCAAGAAAATAGGTCTGTCATTTGAGTTTTATTTTATGCTAAAATTGCCTCCTCGAGCCTGGGCCGAAAATCTTTCCCTCTATTCACGTGGAGTGTTTTTTTTATATATATTTAGGCTTCTTTGAAAACCTTACTTATTTAGTTATTTTGCAAAGAGACTATAAAATCTATCCAGAAATGATCAATGATCATAAACCTTGGTGTGTTAGGATGCAACACTATGCTATGTGGCTAGGGCCTATTTGGATCCTTTAGTCATTGGACTAAAGTTTAGACTAAAATTTAGTCCTTACTCTGTTTGGATCCAGGGACTAATGGTCATTAAAGTTCTTGTACAAGGACCAAAACACCCCTATGTGTTCAGGAATGATAGGGTTCAGGAGGGGGTAGGAGGTGTCTTTTTGACCCTTCAGTCCCCTTTAATGACCCCCAGGGGACTAATGGGCTAATCCCTTTAGTCACCTATTTAGTCACCCTGTTTGGGTCTTTAGGAACTAAAAGGAGTGACTAAACTTTAGTCACTTGGATCAAACATGCCCTCGATTTAGTGGTGGACTACACCGAGGCCGAGCCCTGCCACATCAAGGACAACTTGGATTGGCCTCAAGACCTCATGTTGTACACATTAACATCAAGCCACAGACATCAACGTTGAACGGCTCAATGGTGAGGTTTATCGACATTAGCTCAATGCTGGCTCCTTCCTCACCTCACATCTTCTTTCTTTTGGCATCACTTGCCTTCTCTCTCCCCTCACTCCACCATTAACCCAAGGTCCCAAATCGATCCCACATGAGCCTAGGTTTTGCCTAGGGTCGCTTCCCGGAGGCAATCCCCTCTTCTCCTCTTCCATTTCGTCCATTTAATTTTGCATGGATTGGTTGTATATGGTTGGAACCGTAGGCTCGAGGTGTTGGGTAGATTTTCCATTGTGTAATTGGCATATTGAGTTCCCCCCCTCTCATGGGTGACATGTAGATTAGGGCTAGGATTGTGCAATGCTAAACATTTTTTATTCTTCATGCATTTGTTTTATCGCTTCTCTTTCTTATAGGTAACTACATGTTATATGGTAAATAAAAAGAATAATGTATGGAAGTTAGGGTAACTTGTGCATATGAAAATTGTGTTAGAATGTCGTTTATGGAATTTTTGTATATAAACATTCCATCGAAAAAATTGTGATTTTGAAAATGTTTATTTTTTAATAAATATAGATAATATGTTACCTATATTATTTTGTATGGTTGTAGACAGATAAATTAGCCAATGAGATTACATTATTGGTCTATTGTGTTGAGGACCAAAGATTATAGTGTGAATTTTTAGAACATGGCTGAGGATGTATTTGCTAATCGGTGAATCCCTTTGCTGACTAATTTGGTCAAACAAATGTGAAAGAGAAGTTTGGTTGGAGAGAATGTGATGTAGATATAAAATTGGAAGGTGTGAAGTGTAATTCATGTAGGGTCGTCAAAAGGATAGTACAGATAAATACTCCCTCCATCCTAAAATACAATATATCGAAAGTTCAAAATTCCTCCCAAATTATAAGGTATCCTAGATTGTTCAATTCCATCCACATGTGCATACCTTTCAAACCACATCCATGTATACCTTTTAAGCACCACCTTGCCCAAAATTATGATGATTGGTAGCCATCATGCATGCATTTTTAAACTATGTGTCACTAAAAATTAATTAAGTTGATAACCAAACTAACTAATTAGCGAGGGGCAAGTTAGCATTTTAACAGACACCTTATTTGATCCTTAAATTGCTTACACACCCCTTACATTTTAGGACACAGGGAGTAGTTAAATTGAGTTGGATCTTTACAAGGCAGTAGTTTTGGACTTGAAAATAAGATATATGGATTAATTGGTGTGTAAGGTTTATATATAGTGATAGAATTATCTCCATGTACCAGCATTCCTACTTTGGTGTGTGGCCCAAATTTACACCAAGAACTATTATCATATTTGTCATGCTCGCAACAACTTGCTCAATCTCAAGTATTTTACTTCATCTGTCACTAAATAATAACTTAAATCCTAAAGAGTCATCTTAAGTTAATTTTTTATATATTTGGCTGAATTTATAGAAATATAAAACATAAATACTTATGACACCAGATGTGTACATTATAAAAATATGTTTTATGGTTTGTCTAATGAGGTATTGTTTAGATGTAGTCCGATTCACATCAATCCACATATGTTGAGTGGATTGGAGTGAAACTTGAACTAAATTCCACCCCAATCCACTCAACCACATGTGCATTGAGTTGAATTCGATAACATCCAAACAAGGCCTGATACTAATTTGGTGTCATAATAAATTCTTGCCATTTTCTAAATTCGATCAAACTTAAATTTTTATTTAACTTCAACAACTTTAAAAATTGATTTATTGAAGAACGACGGGCATTGCTCAAGATGGCCCAAATTTATATGGTCTAGTTCTAGTTCGGCTGGGAGCGGCAGGTAAGAGCGCTGCGCCGTGCCGCCGCCGTGCAAGTTGGAGTACGGAGTAGCATGGTCCATGGATCGATGATGCGGCTACGCGGCCTCGTTGGCGAGCCGAGACGTGGCGTGGCGGAGGGGGCCAACACGGTCACGTGGCCCCCGAGCGCGGGTCGGCAGGGGCACGCCGCAGCAGACAGCCTAGTGGTGCCGCCGAACGCTACGCTTCATGATTCAGGGAAGCTGGGCCTGCGTCTGCTACCTTCTGCAGTGCCACCGCTGCTCCTGCTGCTCTCGAATGATCAGGCTTTGCTCGCTCGCGTGCAGCCTTTGTGGCGCCGTGGTCCACCGGCGAGCGCCCGCGCGGAACCGCGGCAGGAAGGGAGAAGAATCCAAAGTCTCACGACGTTTTGGCGCGGACAAACAAACAACGCACGCGGCCACAGTTCCTGCCGCCTCCTACTGGTGCCGGTCGGGTGAACGAGCTCTGTCGCGCCACCGATGGGCAGAGCCGCGCCAAGATCGGTGGTGCGACAGATCCTACCACGTCACCGGTCAGCATCCCGGTCGTCGCCACGTCAACCCTCTCGCTGCGCCACCATGCATGGCGCGGCATAGGCGTTTTGTCGCGCTAGAGAAATAGGCGCGGCCAAAGTGTTAGTTTTGGAAAAAAACAATGAGTGTTAGATTTAAAATTAGTTTACAAAAAGTGTTAAAAAAATCATAGGAGGAGGGTCCGCCGCATCGTGTCTTGTTGCGAAGCGGCGGCACGCGCTGGGGGGGAGGTAGGAGTGGTTTTGTGTGGGTGTAGGTGGGGAGCGACAGGGACGGAAAGTTTGGAATTCAGAAGGTGTTTGGTTGCACATATCTTTTTTTAGCGGTCATTCACTAGGACGTTGTTGAGCGATTCCGCATGCATACCGGCTGCCCACCTTCCCTGTTCCCTTTCTCATCATTAAAAAAAGAAAAAACTTTTATTTTAAATTATTATAACTTTCAAACGATGTATCTATTTTTAATTCTATCTGCACTAATAAGTTCTACATGACGAGCCGAACAAAACTAGATCTCATTTGCATATGAATTTATGTATATTAACTTAACATATGCACACAAGTTATACTGAATAACTTAAATACACAGGTTGTATAGACTAACTTATGTATATAAGTTGTGTTTTATAACTTTTGTGTTTTCATGTTTTAGCATAAGTTATAAGTTAATTCGTTCCTCTGTGTTTAATAACTTTTGTATTTCTAAGTTTCGGCATAAGTTATAAGTTCATTGCTCCTTGTGTTTAATAACTTTTATACATAAGTTGTGTTTGATATCTTTTGTGTTTACAAGCTTTGGGATAAGTTATATGGTATAAGTTATATGTTATAAGTTAATACCTATAAATTACTATTAGCAAAATATTGTTCGAAACTTATGCAAGTGGGGTCTATTTTTGTTCATCTCGTCACGTAGAACGCACCGGTGTAGACGGAATAAAAAATAGATACATAGTTTAAAAGTTATAGCATTTCAAAATAAATGTTTACCTTTTTTGATGACATCAGCGCTGACGTTGTAGCCTGGAAGTGCGCGCACGGAGTACCACGCGCTGCTACTATCCAAATAAGATAACAGGTGGGATTTTTCTTTTCCAGAAAAGGAAATTAATGATGTCTGAAAATTATTCGCTGATCCTGCTTCGGGTGAGAGTTCGCTCGTTAGTGCAGCCGGTTGGGTTGCGCCTTGCGCGTATGATGTGTGTTATTATTGACCAAAATTTGATTATACAATAGACAAAGTTATAGATGTTGTTGAGCAATCAAAAAATCCTTAAACACGACTAAAATTGCATTATGTTTTTTTGCGAGACCCAGTACAAACCGAGACGCTCATATAGACAAGGGCACACTCACTCTTTTGAACATGCACGTATGCATACCCAACTTTATGAGCATCTCCGAAAAACTAAGTTGGATAGATAAATCTCGAGATTAATAGAGTCACCGTAGACAACTTGCCGTTGACGAGCACATCATCTATCAGTGAAGTCACTTATCACTGGAAAAAATAGTACATTTAACATTAGTATTTTTTTATAATATTTAGTCAACATGGATCTCTCTTTTTTGTTGAAACTCATACACTACTACAGAATGGACTTGTTGTCCCGGGCGGTAACGGCCTTTAGTCCCGGTTACCGCACCGGGACAACAATCTCAGGACTAAAGGTG